TTAATTTGAGAAAAACTGATGGGCACCTAAAATAAATACTAGCAAATCAGCACATAAGTGAAAACAGCAAGGTAAGAACAATGTCAGGAGAGAGGGATGACGAGAGAAGCCATACATTTAGGCCATTCACTGCTGACTGAATTTTTGTGGCCTCATTTAAATTTCTTAACCTTCACTGCACCATTATAATCAAAACACCCTACAAAACATTATCCCTCTCAAAGCATTAAGTGACCTACATGTACAGAGATGAAATGATTTCAAACTTTAAATCCCATGAGTGACCAAGACAGAATTTCTCCTTACAATATCAATACAATATCAAGCAGGCAAGTTATGAGAGTAAAGAAAAATATAAATCAGGGAATTATTAGTTGATCCAACACCAATTCTCCAGACTAACATCACAAAAATAACATGGCAGACAGTAAGAAGAATTACTAATGAGATCTTGGGAGTTAAAGGATTAAAATGACATATTTTATAAGATTATTATGAAGTGGCCCATAAAGAGAAATTTGCACAGATATCTAGTCAAGACAAAACTGAATGTGGTCTGAGCTAGACACAAGAGAATGACAGACAGCAAGCATTTCTGGCCCAGAAAATACTTAAACAGAAGAGAATAGGATTTGCTTCAGATGCCTTTTTTAACACTCATTTTCATCTTTGCATACGAGTCAAAATTTAATTAGCCCTAACACACTCATTAGATTTTTAAAAAGTAGTTTGCACTTCACTTTCATGTATGTTAAGTGATATGAGTCGGGGGCAGTCTTGTTCAGTGCTTGCAACCTTAATTTTTCCTAAATAAAAATCTTTGCCAAAAGTAGATGTCATCAGTTTTTTCAGAAGTTGCTTCACTTTTCATTGGCTTATTTCCTTATGCTGCAATACCGTTATTTATGGTCCATAATTTCCATAATTTACATTATTATTTCAATAACATTATACCCCATGTAAGGTACTCCAGGACAGTATAAGATTCTGGATTCCACACTGTGGATTCCAGATTCCAAGTGCTGGATTACGGATTCTACCTGTGCAGATTCCACATTCCAAAACACAAAACATTCCAGATTTTAGTTTCTGGTTTGCTCATAATTTCTACATTCCGTTTTCTAGGAATGACTTCAATGGCAAATTTCATAATTGAAGGACATGTTGTGTGAATGCATGTTTGTCTATTCATATTTCCATAACAACATTTGATAATTATAAGAAACATATTACAGCAAATCAAGGGATAAATTTTTCTTCTACGAATACCTATTGAGACTGTCCATTCATTCCACATATCTTTAACAACTCTGAATGGGCATACCATATTTCTTTCATTGAGATTTTTTGAGGTTCTTCAAGTGATTTAGCAGTATCAAAAGAACTAATAATTCAAATCATTGCTTATCATTTTTAATTTGTAAATAACTGTTGGACTAAAAAGTTGTTTTAGCATAGCATAACATTGTTCCAACTAAGAAAAGGTGGCCAATTTCCACAATTTAAAATTGACTTCATGGAGAACTGTTATCAAAACAGCTTAAACATATTTCCCTATCATCTCAAATTACTTTTTTAACTTTCCTTTTAAACAAAACCATAGTATTGCTGAAAAATTTAAACTGAAATATAATTTTAATAACACCCTGTGTATCTCCCAAATAAATCGCAGACTATGACTAAGAAAAGCTTGTTTTCCTATATATTATTGGCGATGATGTTCAACATTATGAGATTGCATATAAATTGGTATTCAACTAACTCAGCTATACTTAAACTTTGGTTAAATCGCGAAAGATCTTCGTTTACATGGTAATTTTCTAAGAATAACAGATTCTCTTTTCTATACCTCCTTTTTTTCTTTATAAGGTTAGCCAATTCCAATTTTTGGACACCACATGACAAAATTTTATGAAGTTCATTTGAGGTCACATTATCTGGCAAAATAAAATTGTGGGGTCAAGTTTCTTGAGCTTGTGCAGATTAGCCCCACACAGCAAGATGTAATTTGTGTGGACAGTGACACTGATCTAGAGGTAAGGAATGTGCTGTGTGAACGAAGCAAATGATAACCTGGATCTCCACCAGACAGCCCAAAGAACTTTACAGTAAAGAAATTGCTGCAAGCTAAATCGAACTTTACAAGGAAGGTTTTTTAATCGGAGTATAAGACTGATTGGTAGTTACTGAGTAAGGCTGTGTCAGTATCGAAGTCGATTGGGTGATAGGTCATGAATTAATTTGTCAGTGTCTCGCGAGCTGTAACAGTCGAAATTCTCCAGAGAACAAATCGCGGTCTACATGGTCCGCACGGTCTGCAGTCTGCGTTTTAGCATGACTGTGGTTGCATGGATGCGCGTGCAAGCCGTTTATGTGATTTGATATGGATTTTCAGCGAATAGATTCTGGATTCATTCTTTAGCGGGATTCTGGATTCCAAAAGCTGGATTCTGGATTCCAATGCCCAGTATTACGGATTCCACAAGCACAAAAATTTTCTGGATTCCGGAATCCAGATTACCTTAAATGGCGCGGAACATTACTACGAACAAACGCCTGCAACAGAGCTTGATTTCAACTGGCAGAGGTGTTTTGATCGTATATCTCGTTCTGCACAGTGTATAGACGGAACTATCCCTTAAGTTTAGGACATCAGCTAATAAACACTTTGATAGTTACTTCCCTAGTTAAGTTTGTCTTACCTGGGCGAAATGAACACGGAATAAATTCCCCAGGGAGTTGAGAACACGCAAACTGTAGCTGACTTAACAAAAATGGCGGCAGGCGACGCTGGTGTCCAGTCTGCTCTCCAGTCTGCTCTCCAGTCTACTATTAGCCCGTGTGGAGTAAGCAACGCAAGAAGGGGAAAAGGGTGACTCTTGAAGATTAAAAAAAAAAAAAAAAATATATATATATATATATAAAGCCATTTTTTTTTAAATTCCCCCAGACGTTCTCTAGCATTGTCTGTTTCGAAAACTACAATAAAAAAGATAGGTCAGCACGCTTGCGTTATGCTGGGCCAATCTTACCCTATTATGGCTGTACTGATATTAATCACTCACTTTATAGTTCATCGGTTCACGGTATATTTTTGAGGTTTTAAAGTAGCACCTGAAAAATACTTGATAGGTAGAAAGTCTCCAGTGTATGGAACAATGTAATATATAATTTGTGGAAAAATCGCTCAGTTTTAAACTACATTGACTTAAAACGTCCCTCTAGTCGTTGGGTGATGATTGCATCGTCGAGCAAGAGGCTTAGTGCACACTTTTAGATGTATCTTTTTTCCTCCAATAATTTTTTTAATTCCTCTAATTTAAAGGGAATAATTTGTCCACCAAAATTATGCAATAAAAAGTATAGGTTACCGTGCTCGTTCACGAGTAAAAGACCATCGTACCTGTTTACCTCGTCCATTGATTGAAAACAATACCATGTCTCAGAATGCGCGCTTATTTTCTTTGTCTTCCGTTTTCCGCAGTTCGTGTATGTCACATCTACTTGTTACTTCATGGTCTGTGTTTTTTATATTCCAGCTGGAGTTTTAAATAGCGGTTCACGCTGGCCGTTACGGGAGATACGGAGAAACGTGTGTCTTGTAGCGCTAAAAATGAAAGTCTACTCATATCTAAGATTTGAGTCTAATATATAAAGGCACAAATTTTATTGGCAATGGATTTTATCGAAGGTAAAGATAACTAAAGCAATAAATGAAAACAATTAGTAAAAAATATACGAGTCACTGAGTAACCCAAAACATCAAATACGAGGAAAATTATTTGTTGAGACTATTTTTGTCCTCGAAATGTTAGGGCACCCTCGAACGTTGTCATAACATTGATAAAGATCTAGTTGTTTGGCTAGATTATACCTGGATTCCTTTAAACTTTTTGAAAAAAATTTCAAGTGTCGCTGCGATTGTTTTGATAAAACTAATAAGGTTTTGGAGTTAATGAATTTAAGTATTGTGTCACGACTGACAATCCTTTCACACAAAAATAAACTGAATTTGGGGCGTTTTCTTTTTGAGTACGAATCCTCAGCTTCGCTTATTATCCTGGGTCTTATAATGTCTCTTTCAGTCTGATTATTGTTCAATGCATTTTAGGAATCTGGTGCTGATACATCAAAACAGGTTGACTCTTTCAAGTTCTTGATTTCATGTCAACCTATGGTCTGTAATGAATGATGTGAGATAACTGACATTTAAGTCAAGGGTCCAACTAGTTATTTGTTTCATAGAATTGCAAAGTTCATTTATCTTGTTCTTTTGTTATAAGCAATCTAATTGCGGTGATACGATTTGTTCGGAATCCAGCGAGAAAATTATTATCCGGAGGTCAACACAAGAACAATTTCACTCAGAATTTTACCAAATGTTTATTTTGAGTGTACGGTTCAAGAAAAACAAATATAGTAGCAGTTTTAATTACATTTAGCGTTTGCTGTCAATGATCCTTCAACAAAAATTTGTAAAGTTTCATAAATTGCCAAAAAACTACACATTGAAATCCTATCAGTAAACATTATAACTTATTTGACATTTATTTGCCTGAGAATACTAAGGAGGCACCTTTTTTAAAGGCAGTCACTCAAGGGTCGTCGAAGTCAGGAAATAACTTAAATCTTTCATCTCCTCGACGTTTAGCAAGAAAACAGATCGATTGAAATATTCATCCCACAAAAAAAAATTGTTCAACAACTCTAGTTTATTTTCTCAGCATCAAAGTAGCTTGCTCACGCCGTGCACCTCACATATTTTCAACAAAGATGGGAATGACTCCTTCCCTCGTATCGCTTTCCTCACGACTTCTATAACCATAGCTTTACTCCCACCTGTGGAAGTGGTGAGAAGTGCGGTGATTTTGGCAGTGGTATGGAGGAATAATTTTGTGAGGACACCATTTCATATACTTCTGAGTGGTTTGGCTTTCACCGATTTGTGTACCGGAATCGTCGCCCAACCTTTCTATTCTGTAACGTTTTTGACGTGTTCAATGAATTCAACAGTGGTTTACGACTCGCTAAGACTCCTAACAGCCTTACGTACAATTGGCGAGGGAAGTGGGATGTATTTTATTGCTGTCACCGTTTTAATCCTAACAGTAATCTCCACTCAACGATGGGTAGTTATTTCTCACCGATCGTTCTTTACACAGCGCCGCGCATGTTTCACAGTCATTGCACTGATGTTAGCTGCGAGTCTCGTAGTTATCCTTCGTGTTCTAGAGAATGTAAACATTGGTTATGGATGTTCACTACGATACATGCTCAATGCTAATATGCTGTCCTGTTATCTTGTTATGACAATAGCAAACTTTAACGTTTATCGAAGTATTTGTCGCCATCAGAGGCAAATCCAAATCCAACAACGCATAATTTTGGTAGATCGGCGATAAACGTAGCAAAATACAAGAAATCTCTAACGACGTTGGTATATGTTGTGTTGGCTTTTTCTTTATGTTTCTTTCCATATGTTATCTCGGTTGTGATATATTTTGGTTTCGGCAACAGGACCTCAGAAACATATTCAGCCTATAAGGTGACAGTAGTGTTCGTATTTATGTCTTCTGCAATCAACCCAGTTCTTTATTTATGGAGAATGAATGATATTCGAAATGGAGTAAGAGAATTATTTTGTTGAGTTTAATCCGTTTGCATGAGAAAAGAGAAGCGAAACTCATCAGTACAACGCAACACGAAACTAATCCATGATGGAAGTAAATCAGTTGACAAGGCTACAAGTCATTACTTCGATGACCTCCCATGATAAAGGATAGAAACTAAAGCAGACTTTTCTCGCAGACTGGATTCTCTTGCACTTTACACACCCGTGAACGAATTGGCGATGAAAACGTGCCTGTTTCGCAGTTTATTCGGAACTTGTATATGAACAGTTATAAATCCCCAAAATGTTGTAGTGTGAACTATTTTTTTTTAAATTGAAGATGTTCTCAGAATTGTTATTTGTGTTTCTCCTTACATCTCGCAACAGATATTAGCTTAAAAAGATCTTCTTGTCATTTTGGTCTTTCCAACAAGAAGCAAGAACAGAACACATCAGCAATGCAGAAAGGTGTAACAAAATGTTCCACTGGTTTGGCTTATGCATGTTGAGATTTTAAACGAATAAACTATATTTAAAAACTAGCTATTTAATACGTTAAAATATTTATATTAGTAATCACAATTTAACATATATTGGTAAGTTTATTTTCTTTTAAAAATACTTCTGTAACTCCGGCATGTATTTATCCAGTTTTAAAAGCGCTTTTCGATTGAGTGTCGTAAAAACAAAACCAAAATTATCCCAACGACCAATCAAAAGAAGGGTCAATACTTGAAGAGCCAATGAGAGCTCAAAGTAAAGACAAGCCAATTACTAAACACACGGAAAAACGCTGTTTGGTTTTAACTTTGCACCGGATTGGTGCGAGTGCGGAGAGGTGCGAGTTTTTTTGGACCAATCACAGAGCGGAGTAAAGCAAAACCATTGTAATCTGGGAGTACTTTCAACACTCGATTGAAAATTGTGCTATTTGGTTATGTAATCATTTTTTCATATCCATGTATCTTGTTCGAATTTTTCTTGTAGGCTTTGTTTTTCCTTTTTCGGACTTGTTACACAATAATAGTGGACGAAAACCATAAATTACTCGCCTAAACTAAGTATTGCCTTTTGCAAGCTTGTGTATCCTACGTATGTAGTGTTAGCGAATATCTCTAATTAAACTTAGTAAACTTGGTAACATTCAATTGATCAAAACATTATTATTTCCTGGTAACTGACACAGAAAACTTTGGAACGAAACTCTTTGGAGTCTTGACACGTTACTAACACTATGCACTGAAACTAATAACACCTCTAAGCTGTTAGAGAGGGCCCATGAAAAACATTTTATTTCCTTTACTGTGTTTTTGTTTACGATGAACATGACAGAAGACGACTCAAATATAGATATTTCATTAAAAAAATAGTTTTAAAGCTATTTTCTATAATCAGCAACGACGATTAAGGATTGAAATGAATTGTTAAGTGATGCGTGCTATTGTCATCTTCATCATTTAGTTTGTTGATGAGCATGATAGCGTAAGTGTATCGAGGTGCATCTCAGCTCTTCAGATATTTGTTTTCAACCTAAAGTCATAAAAAATAACAAATAAAAAAGATGCAGGGTTTTTTTTTCATTTTTCCACTACTACCACCATTTTTCGACTACTGATAAAGTCAAATGCCTTGATAGGAGAAAGAGCCGTTGACCATTTTTCCGAAGAAACCGACAGTTGTTTGGCTGCGTCGGTAAATTTTGGTCAAGGTAAATATTAATAAATTCAGTCTTCCATACTCTTTAATGGTCTTGATAAATATTTCATTTCGTTAGTTTCTTGAGATTTAAAAAATCCCAGACCTTTGGAGTGCGTGACCCGAAGCTCTATCACTGAGCTGAAGACAGCTCTATTTTATGGTAAGCCATTGGTAGGTTCATATAACACACACGTCCTACACACCACTAGGCGTCGTATTAATATGTAGAAAAAGAATTGTAATGAAGTTAAAATAAGGTAATAATGATAAAATGATAATAATTATAACAGTAGTAGTAAAGATTACGTAATCAACGTATAAATATTTACGTACACATCAAATTATATATTATCTTATAGCTTTATCCTCGCACTTTATCTCCTCAAATTTTCTTTTGTAGCCCGATGAAAGAGTTCGGGCCATTTTGACGGCTATGGCGTCTAAAAAATTCTGCCTGCATATTAGTTTTGTTCGATATTTTCAATCCGTGTCATACTCTCCCAAGTTTAGCTATCTGTGTTCTCCACTGTTTTATTTTCACCTCGTTATTGTTTGTCAGCTCTGTAAAGCAATTTCTTCCTACTTAAAGGAAATTATTTGCATCATAAAAAGGACTCACAATGGCGTGACGCATTTTCTTAAGTAATGTAACTGTGTGACAGTGGTGAATTCCCTTTTGGAGCCATTACAAGACCGCCGTATATAAGCTGAAAAATTTTTAGCAGTAGACCGCCCACCCTGATCAGATTGAAGGTCGAGTTCTTCCACCCCCGGGCTTTCAGTTATGTCAAGTAATCAACAGAGTATCCAGACCACATGGTTAGAAGGGGGAGCCTTCTATTACTGCGCTTCAGGGGTGACCTGAGATTTGCCACTAGTAATCTTGCTAAAATAGACATATGCTACTGATTCGAATTCTAAAGTTGGCTGCTTCACTTCACAAAGCAACAAAACATTCAAAGTTAAATTGGTGGTGAGTACGATGTTTCTTCATTGGGCTACTATATTATCAATTTTACAATACGTATCTCGACGCCTTCATAATTAGAGCTATCCTTACAAAGACCATTCGATAATGAAATGATTGATATAGGAAACATTATGAATTGCTGTAGAGGAACGTAGTTCTGCAAAAATTATCTCTATTATTTAGATCATTTTATATCTCAAGTATTAAAATTTGCTTGGTAAGAATTAGAGGGCTTTTAACTCGGTAGTTCTGCTGTGTTGAATCAAATTCGTTTCATTAGTAAATGTCGAGCGACTGGATAAACAATCTAAACGCATGTGTCAAAAACTCCCTGGAGGTTTACAAATGTGAAATGTAGTTACATTTTGATAGTTGTCTTTGGCAAAACAACGTTCAAATCAGCTCAAAAAGACGGAAACCGGTTGTTGTCGATCCATTGTAAAATATGTGTAAAATATGGCCATTCGAAATTAAAATATTTTTCTGAAAATATTCGGCATATCTGAAGCCATTATTCTTTTTGTGAAATGTCGGTTGGGTTACGTCTAATCTTTTTGCCCTCGCTGCCGTGAGTCGCTTAAAGCTTTTCAGTGTCGATGGTAGCATAGCGTAGATGTATATACAAATCGCACACCGAATTAAATTTCATATTAATTCAAGGCGGGAAAATCTGTTTGCGCGTTTAATTCAAAGAGAAGATGGAAAGCGATGGATGTTGGGTTTCTTTAACGGCCATTCTTTTTTTTTTATCAAATTGAACTTAGTCTTTATTCTTGTTATCCGTTGTTCCCTCTTTGTTTTAAAATATTATTTATTCTTTTTATCTATCAATGTTTCACATCTTCCTTAAAATAGCTATTTGCATTTATCTTTGTTTTGCAGAGAACGTTTTATTTCAGTTTCTTGTCGTTGGTTTCATCAGTCACGCGATCAGAATACCAATCACGACACTTTTCTTTTTTAGAAGGTGAGCAGTAAAAGGTATGAATTTAGAAACAATATTTTCCCGCTTTACAAATTGAAATGTTTTGCAATGAATATTCGATGGCAGAGGATTTTGATAACCTCCAAATAATCTTAAATTCTGGTAAAGATTTTTTGTTTGAAATTTGGCCTAAACCTATGATAGTCTAGAAAATAAAACGGTTTATCCAACATGAAGCCTTTGTCTTTCATGATCTAATTTCTAACTCTCCTCTTCAAGCGCTGTGATGTTATTGTGAATGATTTAAGAGAATATAGTATTACATCAAGAAAATACTATCCAGCTTTATTCGTTATTGTCCTCAACTTTTGTTAGTAGTTAAATAGCTTTTTTTAAGTCAGTCTGGGAGTGTCAGAGTAGGATTAAAGATGAAATACTTTCTCTGTATTTGTAGGGGAAAGCTGTATAAGGTTTTCCGATTTATATTTTATTTTGTTTTCACACTTGTTAATGTTATCAACTTTGTTTTGCAGAGAAAGCGTTATTTCAGTTTCTGGTTATTCCTTGTATCTCAGTCATACGATCAGAATACTAAACAAGACACTCTTCCTTGTGTGAGGGTAAGAAGCCAAATGAAAGATTAAGTTTACTCTCCTTTCCTGTTTTCAAAAAGTATTTTCGCCGCCTCAAATCAGGCGCAACAGAAGTCAAATTCAAGAACAGCAAGTTCCGATGAAAAAGAAAAAAAAACCCACAAGAATGTACAATGCACCTAATGGCAAAACTAGAGAGTTATGTTTACACGACTTACTTTTTCAGTGATGTTATTAACCGATCAAACTCAGCACTTTGTTCTCGACCGACCTACTTGCATTTATCTGTTCCTTGAAATCAGTCTCATCACATAAACAATTAGCACCCTGAATAGCCCATGTTTAATTTTTCAAAGCTTCACAGCTGAAAAACTAAATTTGATAACCATCATTCTTTTCCCGCTCTAAAAAATTGAAATATTTTGGGTGAAAATTTGGGAAAATTCAATGATGTATGACATTTTATTGTTTCAAACAATCTAACCAAAGTTTATTTTATCAGCAATTCTTCCTTCAAGCTCCTTTACATTACCTTGCTAGTCATTAGGGAGAGTCTGGTATTGTATCTTATTTTCGCCACCAATTCACTGGATGAAATGTGGATA